ACACGGTTTCCCTTGTCACATAATTGACTTATGCTCAAGAGATTGTGTTTAAGACCTTTGACTAGCAAGACATTATCTATAGAGGAGTCTTTGGACTTACCTACTGAACCGACGCCGATAATTTTTCCCTTGCTATTATCTCCAATGACTACGTTTCCTCCTTTAGCGGGTTTGATTTGTAGGAACTTGGATGCATCTCCGGTCATGTGCTTGGAGCATCCGCTATCAAGGTACCACAGTACACTTGACGCCTTCAAGCATACCTATAAAGATGATTTAATAAGATTTAGGTACCCAAGTCTTTTTGGGTCCTTGAGTGTTAGGTGCAAAGTGGTAGTGTGATTCATTGTGTGCCCAATGCCTATGCCTAGTAAAGCAAACGGGAGCTATATGTCCTACCCTATTGCAATAATGGCAAACTACGTTTGGGTTGTGCATCCTCCTAGGTTGGTAGTAGTTGCTAGGGGGCCTAACCATATTCATCCTGTTTTTAGAGAACATTGGTTTTTGAAAATTTTCCCTTCTAGGTGTCCTAGATTTAATTTGTCTATTTGAAAAATTATTTTTATGCACAAAATCATTTTGATGATTTTTCCTAGGTTGTCTAGCATGCACATTTCCATTCCTAGGTTTTTGTCTAGGTTGTCTAGTGTCCCTAGGTTGACTAGATTTTCTATTCTCCTAATTTTTAACTTTCTTATGTTGAGCCTTAGAAGGTTGTCTAGGTGTTTGCTCAACGTTTTTATCCTTAGATTCATTTTTATCAAAACATGTTCCTTCCTTAGAAATATGCATAGTGTCTAGGAGTAAATTAAGATCTTTGTGTGGTGTGTTGAAACACGGGCATGTCACGTTTTCGTACTAAAGACGTGTTTGTTTTTATGACAGGTTTTGATAATGTCAAACCACCGTGATCAAGTCAAACTTTGAATATACAAGGCGAAGAAGGAAGACAAGAACAAGAGCTAAAAGAAGACCAAGAACGAAGACCTTAGTCTTAATGTCGTTGAGTCGGTCTTCATTATGATCAAGACCGACCCAATCTTTACACCTTGGCTCTTTAGGCTAAAAATCTTTCATTGCATTTCTTAAATCATAAAAATGTTTTTTAAACATGTTTAAGTCATTAAAAACACTTGGTGTTTGCCCAAACCAAAAACCAAGCCATCCAGCGTTCGGTTTTTCAGAAACCGGCGTTCGGCTCTCGGTTATCGGCTATGGTTTTTGGCATCCGAACCAACCAAGTGGTTTTCAACTTTTTATGATTGGTTTTCACTCTTTGGC